AGGCTCTATCGCTTTCACTCTTTAGCTCCCTCACCCTCTTTCTTTCTCTTCTTCCCCCTCCACCTCTGCATCTCTCTCTCTCTCTCTCCCCCCCCCATGTCTCTCTATCGCTGTCTCTCTCTCCTTCCGTTTCTATCTCTCCATCCCTCTCGCTCTTGCTCTCCTTCAAGCTGTGTGTGTGTGGCCGCGCGCGTGCTCCCCTGTGTGAATGGGTGGTTTTGCTCATGGTGGTCGTGAGTTGTGTCTAGGTGTCCCTCAGCCGTTCTCTCCCAGGATCAGGCTGCCGGTTTTAGTGCCAGCGCGGGGCAAAGCAGAACCCACCTGGCCCCCTTGTTGCCCACAGGCTGGGTCCCCGTCGGGACAGGGGACGGGGGTAAAGGCGTTGTGAGAAAGAGCGCCCGTAGGACTGGGTTGGCTGATTGCCCTTGGGCAGCCCTGGAGGCTCTGGGTGGGTGGGGCAAGAGGGGGCCTTGCAGGAGGGGCGGCGATGGATCCAAAACAATCCCTCAGTGCTAAGGCAGAGGACCGGAGGGGATACCAGGACCGTGGGCCCTGGGCCCTGGGCCCTGACGCCTCGGAGCACACCCCGTCCTGAGCCGGCCGGATGTGGTGGAAACTCGGGAGCTCGGGAGCTGGGGGAAGGCCTGGAGCTTCGGCTGAAGGGAGGCCACCTCCAGAGCCCGAAGCCTGTGCAGGAGACAGAGGCCTCTGGCGCCCCCGCCCGGCAGCAGGGCGGCGCTGTGGCGGTCCCGCGCTTGGCCTGGCCACCAGCGACTGCGGGAGGCTCTCGGAGGCCAGCTGAAGGCGCAGCGCTGCGGCAGACCATGCTCCGGCGTAGAAGGGGAGAGCGGCCAGTAGAGGGGGACAGCAGACTAGCCCGGCCGCTGGCGAGCAGCTCAGGGATTCTTGATCCGAGCCCTGTGGATCCGGGGTTGCCGGGATGTCTAGAGTCGGGCGCGCAAGACTGAGCGGAGCTCTTGGGGCTGCCAGGCGTCTATGGCCATACCACCCTGAACGCACCCGATCTCGTCTTATCTCTGGAAGCTAAGTAGGGTCAGGCCTGGTTAGTACTTAACTGGGAGACCGCCTGGAAATACCGGGTGCTGTAGGCTTTTTTGGCTTCCCGCTCCCTCCCTCTTTCCCCCTTTTATCCCGTTGCTTCCCAACCGCCCCCTGACTCTGCTCCTTCTTTTCCACCCGCCTGCGCCACCGCGGTACCCCGGGACCTCCTCATGGGACATCCGCCACTGCAGCACCGCCGGTTAGCAGCTTCCCACCCCTTCTGCCTGGCAGCCACCCCATCAGTAGTAGCCCAGTTCGCTGCGCGGGGCGGGGCGGGGCGGACCGGGGCCAACATCAAAGGCGCAGAGGCTAGGTTCCCTGCTGTCCCGGGTGTCTTCCCTCTCCCGGGACGCCCAGGAAATTCAATTCACTCATCTGGCGCCGCTGTCACCGTCCAAGCCGGGGGAAGGGGCGGGGAAGAGGGCCCCACAAGACACCAGACAAGACCTCCGCTCCAGAACGCATGGGCTGCTTTCCCCAGGGGAAGGACATTGCCTTCGCCAGTCACTAGGAAAACCGTCCCTGTGCACTCGGAATCCCTTTGCCACCAACTTCTATAAACTCCAGTCCCAAGGACAGGAGACAGACCCAGGCCTCGGCCCGGTGGGCATGCTCTCGCCAGAGGGACCGGTGCACTCTACAAATCTCGGGGCCCACCGCCCCAAGAGGACAGGGAGGAACCAACAAAGGAAAAGCCCTACGAAACGGACCATCAAAGCAACCAATCCAACAAAAAATACGTCTCAGGGCTCCTTTGGGTCACTCCATTCGCCCTTCCACCCTGTTCTGGTCCAGCCCAAGCCCCCTCCACCCTACCCCGTCCTGCTTAAAGGGGCCCTGTCTACCGGAGCAGAACCCTCCCTCTCCAAGGCTCTAGGGCTCTCTAGGTCCCTCACCCTCTCTCTTCTTCTTCCCCCTTCACCTCGTGCTCTTTCTGTCGCCTGCTCTCTCTCTCTCTCTCTCCCCCTCTCTCCTGACTCACTGTCTCTCTATCACTGTCTCTCTCTCTTCCTCCGTTTCTATGTCTCCATCCCTCTCTCTTGCTCTCATTCAAGCTGTGTGTGTCTGTGTCTTTGTGTGTGTGTGTGTGGGTGTCTGTTTGCAGGACGGGCTGCGAGGGATCCAAAACAATCCCTCAGCGCTAAGGTGGAGGACCGCAGGGCCTGGGCACTGATGCCCTGTCCTGAGCGGCCAGATGTGGTGGAAGCTCGGGAGCTCGGGAGGCAGGGGAAGGCCTGGAGCGTTGGCGGAAGGGAGGCCGCCCGGAGAGTCCGAAGCCTGGGCAGCGGACGGAGGCCTCTGACGCCCCCGTTCGGCAGCAGGGCGGCGCCGTGGTGTTCGCGGGACTTGGCTGCCAGCTACTGCCGGAGGCTCTAGGAGGCCGACGGAAGGCGCAGCGCGGCGGCCCGGGGTGCTCAGGTGTAGTGGGGGAGAGCAGCCCATCCCGGGTGCGGGCGAGCGGCTCCGGGGTCCGCCATCCGAGCCCCGCGCCCCCGGGGTGGCGGGGACGCCTGGAGTCTGGCACGCGTGATTGGACCCAGTTCTTGGGGCGGCCAGGCGCCACTGTCAGGGTCTACGTCCATACCAACCTGAACGCGCCCGATCTCCTCTGATCTAGTGAAGCTAAGCAGGGTCGGCTGCCCGGGAATACCGGGTGCTGAAGGGATTTTGTCTGCTTGCTTCCTAACCGCCCTCTGACTCTTCCTAACCTTCCCCTTTTATCTGCTTGCTTCCTAACCGCCCTCTCTGCTTCCCCCTTTTCCGCCCTCCTGCGCCCCCGCAGCAGCCTGGGACCTAGGGGTCCCCCATTGCACCACCGCCAGGTAGCAGCATCCCACCTCTCCCGCCTCGCCGCAGCCCCAGCAGGAGCCCGGGTTGTGGCTGACCGGGGCCCGACCCTGAAGGCGGAGAGGCGGGTTCCCTGCTGTCCTGGGTGTCTTCCTGCTCCCGGGAGGCGCAAGCACTTCAATTCAATCATGAGGCGCCGCCGCCACTGTCCAAGCCCAGGGAAGGGGCCGGCAGGGGTAGCGGGTCCCGCAGACGCCAGCAAAGACCCCCGCTCCAGAACGCATGGGCTGCTTCCCCCTCGGGGAAGGTCATTGCCTTCATTAGCCACCAAAACAACCGTCCCTGTGCACCCAGAATCCCATTGCCACCAACTTCGTGTAAACTCTAGTCCCGAGGACACGAGAGAGACCCAGGCCTCCGGCTCCGTGGGCACGCTCGTCGCCTCCGCTCTAGCTAGACGGATGGGCACACTCTACAAATCTCGGGGCCCACCGCACCAAGAGGACAGGGAGGAGCCAACAAAGGAAAAACCCTAAGAAACCCACCCCCAAATCAACCAATCCAAGAAAAAACACGTTTCAGGGCTCCCTTGGTTCACCCGCGTGGGCGGCCTGCCACCCTGTTCTGGGCCAGCCCAAGCACCCTCCACCCTACCCAGGCCTGCGCAATGGGGCCCTGTCTACCAGAGCAGAGGACTTCCTCTCTAAGGTTGTATGGCTCTCACTCTCTCTCTCCCTCACCCTTTCTCTTCTTTCCCCTCCACCATGCACCCTTTCTTTCGCGTTCTCTCTTTCTCTCCCCTCCGTCACTCTGTCTCTCTCTATGGCTGTCTCTCTCTTCCTCCCTTTTTCTCTCCATCCCTTTCTCTCTTGCTTTCCCTCAAGCTATCTCTTTCTCTCTCTGTGTGTGTATGTGTGTACCCGCGCGAGTGCGCCAGTGTGTGTCTGTGTGTGTGGGCAGGGCGGGGGTGGGGGGGAGGGGGTTGGTTTTGCTCGTGGTGGTCGTGAGATGTGTCTGGGTGTGCTTCAGCCCCTTTCTCCCGGGATCCAGGATGTGTGTGCTGGGGGGAAGCAGTAGAAAGGGTGTTGAAGGAAGGTGACAATCAGCTTCGTGGAGGGCACTGACAGGCCATTATTCCTGTGGCTTGGCAAGTTTTCTGTTTGAACTTATTTCTTGTTAAGGGTCCAAGTGTACCGACTATGGGAATAAGAAAAGAAGAATAGCTCTGAACAGCTGAAGCTCTGTGAGGTACAAAATATTTTTCTGGCCCAGAGAGACTTGAGTATGGGATTTGAGACACACCTCCACACCCTTTCCCAGGGGCAATTGTTTAAAGGTATGTTGTTCCTAAGGAGCTGCCTCATCTGGAATTTGTGATACAAAGAACAATGTATAGCCAGTCAGTGGCTTATGGATTTTAATGTAAATTTTTGATGAAAATTTTAGGAACTGCGTCTTTTCTCAAAATCCACTTGTAATGGCTACTAATTGGAGTGTATATTCAGGGCAACTTTATGCTCTCAGGTAGGTATCGTGAACATGTGCCCTTGAATATACTTTTGAAAATAGATTCTGACTTTTTTATTATGATGGGTTGACAGGGACTGGCCTGGGACACCTGCCTCTATGTAAATACCTCAACCATTAGCTGCCCTGCCCAGCAGAGGAGGCGGGTGGACAGCAGGTCCCCTTTGGTCAGAAACACATGCATTGCGTAGTTGTTCTACAGCTGGGTCCTGCTTGCGAGGACAGTCCCACAGGCGCACCGGAATGCACAGGCAGCCTCCCCTTTCCACCCGCCAGCATTCCCAAGCACGCCTCGGCTTCTGACTGGTCTGTGCTTTGGGAGGAAAACTCATCTTCAGGTTTCTCTCCAACAGAAGATGATGATGACGCTGTTCAGACACTCAGGAACAAAGATTGCAGATTGGCTTAAGAGTGCGCCCTTTATTAAAGATGGTATACATGTAAAGACATGGAACAATTTTGGAAGGATACAAAAAAAAATTGCCCATTTTATTAATAGTCTCATTCAACCCCTTTGCTGACCTCATCTTCTGTCACTCATAACCAAAGGAGGAGGGTCCTGGAGCCCTGTCCAATCAGGGACATTGACGTGGGAATTGTCCAATCAGGAGCGCAGCTTGAGAGGCAGAGGCGGTTTCCGGGATCTGGCGGGGCCTTTGTCTTGCGCTCCAGTTGGAGCTTCGGTCGAGTCTTCTCCACTATTTATCCTCACCTGCGGGAGGCCCTGGTGACTCTGCTGCTGCAGTGTCTGGTTTCCCTGTGACCTGCAGGTGCTGGGAGTTACGTAGCTAAGATGCCAGGACACACCGAAATCCGGAAAACGGTGAGAGTTCCCTGGAGGGTGTTCCAAGATGGCGGCCCGGCCTCCCCGCATCAGCTCCGGAGTCCGCGGCCCTGAGTGTCTGCTGGCACCTGTGGGATCTGTCACCTCTGGGTAGGGGCGGGGCCGGGCCGCCGCGTGATTCTCCTCCCATCGCTGCCCCGCGGCTTCCGCCCGGGCCTCCGCCCCGGCCTCTCTGGGCAGCTATGAAGCTGCAACCCCGCCAGTCCCCCAAACTGTGTGCTTGGTCCGGAGGGGAGGGTCATCGGGGAGAAGCCCAACTCGGTGTGCGAAACATGCGTGGGAAGAGCTGTTCCATAGGGCTTATCTTAGCTGTGCAGTCCATCCTTTTTCCTGTGAAAAATAAAGGGAGTCACTCTTAAAGCTTTGAAGAGTTTGTTTGAGCAAAGGGAGTTTCTGGAATGGGAGAGCACCCATCTATGGTGTGTGGCTTGTGGGTTTATGGAGGAGGTGCTTGAAGGAAAGGCTTTTGTAGGGTGCATGAGGAAGCAAGCCAAATTTAATAATTGGCGACAGTTACAGTCACTTTATTTGGACTGTACAGGTGGAAATTTCCTGGTTATTTAATTAGAGATTAATTGGAGTTTTGTGATTGGTTGAACCTGGATTTTGTTTCCACTTAAGGTAGTCATTAACAAGAAATGCATTTGAGCTACTAATACTTTTCATGTCGAAACGCAAGACACTAGAGCCACATCTGTCTAATTGCCTGCTAATTATTTTAACACTGCACAAGAGACTGGTTTTCCCCTGCATTTTCCAAATACATGGAAAGCGGGGTCTCAAATCCCCTCCCCTGCTCCCCCAGCCTAACTCTGGCCTGCAATAAAATACTAAATTTTCAGTTTCTTTCCAAAATTCACAAAAACCACCGTCACCTCTTCAGTTCACAACATTGTCAGCTATTTGTCTTTTATTGCATACTCCAGGCACAATATTTTAATTAATCATTTTTTCACAGAACATTGGAGGGCACTCTTTGTTGTTGCTGCTGCTGTTTTGTTTTTGTTTTTTCTTTAAGAAGGAGTCTCGCTCTGTAGCCCAGGCTGGAGTGCAGTGGCGCGATCTTGGCTCACTGCAACCTCTGCTTCCCGGGTTCAGGCGATTCTCCTGCCTCAGCCTCCTGAGTAGCTGGGATTACAGACGCGTGCCACCACCCTGGGCTAATTTTTGTATTTTTAGTATTTTGTGTTTTAGTTTCATCGTGTTGGTCAGGCAGGTCTCCAACTCCTGACCTTGTGATCCCCCCACCTTGATCTCCCAAAGTGCTGAGATTACATGCGTGAGCCACAGCGCTTGGCCTGTTGTTTTTTTTCCTGCCCGGCCTTTTTTTTTTTTTTTTTTTTGGTTGTGTTGGAGTCTCGCTTTGTTGACAGGCTGGAGTGCAGTGGCATGATCTCGGCTCATTGCAACCTCTGCCTCCTGGGTTCAAGCGATTCTCCTGCCTCAGCCTCCTGAGTAGCTGGGACTACAGGTGTGCGCCACCACACCTGGCTAATTTTTGTATTTTTAGTAGAGATGGGGTTTCACCATATTGGCCAGGATTGTCTAGATCTCTTGACCTCGTGATCTGCCCGCTCACCCTCCCAAAGTGCTGGGATTACAGGCATGAGCCACCACGCCTGGCTTGTTGTTGTTTTTAAGAGGATCTTGCTCTGTCATCCAGGCTGCTGGAATGCAGTGACATTGTCATAGCTTACTGCAGCCTCCAACTCCTGGGCTCAGGTGATTTTTCTGCCTCAGCCTCCTGAGTGGCTAGGATTAAATGTGTGTGCTACCATGCCCGGCTAATTCTTTTTATTTTATTTTTTTGTAGAGATTGGGTTTCACTAGTTACCCATGCTTGTGGCACTCTTTAAAGATTTGTTTTCTGTTTGTAAAAGCAGAGAAGAACCCCCTGGCACTCTATTGTAAAGAAATATTTGTGGCACTCTGCTTTTATCTTTCCTAGGCACAGACGCCTTGTACAATATCTTTGAGTTGAGGTTCCACTTTGGAAACTTTACAGCTTGTATCCTCAGCCACTCTTTCTTTTATTTATTTATTTATTTATTTATTTATTTATTTATTTATTTATTTTGAGACAGAGTCTCTCTCTGTCTCCCAGGTTGGAGTGCAGTGGTGCACTCTCGGCTCACTGCAAGCTCAGCCTCCCGTGTTCATGCCATTCTCCTGCCTCAGCCTCCTGAGTAGCTGGGACTACAGGTGCCCGCCACCATGCCCGGCTAATTTTTTGTATTTTTAGTAGAGACAGGGTTTCACCACATTAGCCAGGATGGTCTTGATCTCCTGACCTCGTGATCTGCCTGCCTTGGCCTCCTGAAGTGCTGGGATTACAGGCGTGAGCCACTGCGCCTGGCCCGTCAGCCACTCTTATCCTAGTCCTGAGTTTCAGAATTGTCTGGGAATGACCCAAGATGCCCACAGTGGCTATGTCTCTTGGAGTATCTAGTGAATTTTGGTTGCTGGGTTTTTTTTCTTCCCAGAGGACAGCCTGTGGCATGGGGATGGAACCTCTCAGTGGAGCTGCTGGATGTCCTGGGGCTGAGAGAAGTCTTCTGGTACACCCTTCATCTAAAAAGCTAACCTCTTAGACATTCTCTCCCAACCCCCAATTTCATTGTCTGGAGACACGTCAGTGGAGTTGGGAAAAGACAGAAATAATTCCTGCCCTCTGTATTCTCAGACTTGTGAAGGGAGAAAAACTAGTCCAAAGGACAAGCAAAACCTACTCCAGTGAGCTGGTGCGAGAACATGCAAAGCAAAACATCCCTGGAGCACACAGTGAGGCACAGTGCAGTGTCTCCAGACAGGGTGGTCAGTGACCACTTCAGTGAGTAGAATGGGGGTGGGAGAATGTCCCAGGTTATAGGATAGCCTGATCTGACGCTTGAGTCGGATGTGTCTGTGTTCCAGGTAGCACTGTTACTCCCTGAATTTATCACCTTAAAAAGATTTGTTCACTTATTTCATCATCAGTTTTTATTAAGTATATATTACACTTTATCAGTAGAGCTTGAAAGGTTAGAAAATATTTACAAAGGGCATGAAAGTGGTGAATTCTAGGAAGAAAATATGTAGTCATATATTTCATTTGTTAAAAAAACTCATTTATCTTTTTCTTCATCAGAGTGAGTGTAGTAGTTTCTCAGTTCTGTTCTATTTTAAGGGTGATTTCAAACAGAATCTCAGGGCTTAAGTTTGGGAATTCTACCAGGGGAAAAAAATAGGAAACATCTCTTTTTCATTATGCCTATAGGAAATTCAATTTCACAAGACAGTATGGTAGATTAATTGGTAAATTATATAGATTCATGAAACATCAGTTCCTCTTTTTTACAGGGTGGATGATTTGTGACATTAAATGTTCTGTATTCAATTATCCGGACATCCAAATTCAATGCTAAGTTTTAGGAGATGGGACATGGCTCCTCTTAGAAGGGCTCACGTTTAGTAAGTGTTTCCTAAATGATCTGTTATAGAAATATTTAATTGACATTTTTGTATCTGAAAGGAATAGACACTTTTGCCTTTCCTTTTGAAATGTAAAATGTGTCTTACAATTTTATTCCCTTTTATAAACACTGTCTTTGAGTGATTTTGCTGAATTCTTCAAACACTGGGCATTTTCTCATTTAAAACTAAATGAATAGCCCTGACTGGAAAGTAGAAGTCTGAGCCCAGTGACTCCAAGTTAAGGCCAATCTTGAACCTGCAAAAGAAAGTCATTGAAGGCCCAATTAGTTCTTCCTGAGGAGCCTCCCTTGCAGGTGTCCCAGCCTGCTCACACAAGCATGGCAGAGTCCTTTACATTGAGAGAAGCTACAGAGCCCTGGAAAGTGGGAGATCCATGGGCAGATGCAAATGAGGTTGGGTTGGAAGACGGGTTCAGAAGCTCTTTCTGAGGATAAAATTTCGTCGTCCTGGGCTGTTTCTAGACTTTGTCAAATAAAGCTAATTTAGATTTACATAAAAAGTTACTTAATTTTAAAGGAGTATTGCAACAGGGGAAAAATACCAACTATATCTGCAATCATCTGAAATGTTAGGCAGAAAAGGGCTTATTTGAAGGGGGAACACACAAGACTAGAAAGAATGTGTAAGCGGGAGGACAGGATGAAAGTTGCCAAAATTAGGTCCTAGATCAGAGAATGTTTCACCCTGAGGTCAGCCTGTGTTTAGGAGGGGCATAAAGAGGGGTTATTTGCTGGCTCAGGCTGAGTATGCATCAAAGTTCTGGGGCCTGCTAGAAAGAGAGAAGCTAACCCATTTATGCCTAGTGTTCATTATTGGAGCACTAAGCTCGTGGGAGTTATTTATACTTCCTACTACTAGTTGACCCTACTGCTCAGGGTCATCACCATGGTCTGATTTTTCACACAAAAAAATTTGCCACCTCCAGCATAAATGGGTTAAGCAGTGGTTGGTGAACAAGGTTTTTTTTCTTGTTTGTTTTTTGTTTTTTTTACCACTGAAGAGAATTGTTCAGGTGATTGTTTATGAGACAAAAATGGGAATTTGCACTCTGTGTCTGGCTTTGTAATAGGTTAAAAAAAAAAAGGGAGCATCATAAGTCAAAATTAGAAGAGTATTTCTTTTCATTCACCTATTCTTTGAGAACATGAAGGATGGGGAATTTCTTCAGTCACAACTATTTACCAGGATTGTCTACCCACCCAATCTTCTCCTGCCACTTTCCTTTACTGTATATAGCTCTTCCATTTGGCTGTTTTGAGATGTACTTTTTATAACAAACTGGTACATGTTTTGCTGAGTTCTGTGAGGAGTTCTGTCAAATTATTGAACTTGAGTATGGGGTTATGGGAGTCCCAGACTTACAGGCAATCACTCAATAAGTATAGATGGGTCCCTGGTGCATGTGACTGGCCTCTGTAGTGGGGGCAGTGATGTGGAACTGAGCCCTGGCCTTGTAAGGTCTGTGCAAACTGAATGGTGTTAGAATTGAATTGTTGAGCAACCAG